AGGAAACTTTCAGCAGCTTCTCACAGAAGCCATCCCTGTAGCCCTCTCCCCTGCAAAGCTTGCCCTTGCAAACCAAATTCAATGCATTAAAGCATTACTGTTTTAGTGTAGAAACAAGAAAATGTTCTCTATGAGACTTAAAGGACCAAAATAATGAAACATGATACAACCTGCAGTCAGATCAAATCCTGCTTATTACAACAAAGCGTACATTTTATCACACATGTGATAAGACTGGAATTGTAAAAGGGTAGGGAGCAAGGATTCAAGAGAAAGCAGGAAAATTATCTGTGTTCTCTTTAGCTTGTTAGACTCAAGATGGAAATTACAATTATGGAGTTTGAGGATAGTAAACTTTCAGAGATAAAAACAACTAACTCTGAAACAGAACAAAGCATGACAAAGATGAAAATACGTATTCTACATCTTTAAAGCATGCACTATAGATTATGGGCTTAAGGTAGATAATAGCAAACAATCACACTGCATGTAACTTTATTGTTATTATGTTATAATATGGACTTATGTAAAACCTTAGTAATGGTAATAATATCTTTTATGTAAGTCTTTATTATTAAGTTTTTCAAGTTTCCGGATTTCCTGTCTGAGCATTCAGATTCCACTCTAGAAATCACATTCACAGCCTGTGAGATTTTCACTGGTGGGACTGAGATCACTTTGCAGTGGGTGACTCCAGTGACCTGATGGGTGCACCATTTGAATCCCTGTACGCACCATATTCACGCTGTCAGACAAGCTTCCTTTGCCATCTTGGCCCCACATTTCCCATAGCAGTGTCCCAGATGCTGGGTTCCTGGAAGTATTTTGATCATGATGCATCAGCTCAGTAGCAGCATGTGCTGTTTTTAAGGAATCCCTGGGCTTTTACACCCTTACAATCTATGTGGCCACCCTTCATGCCCCTTGCACTTGCCTCTTGGTCCAATGGTGATATTTTGGCTGAGGTCTTCTGCTTGCTTATTGGGTCCTGCAGAGTCTCTAGGTGACTGGCCACCCCCACACCCCCACCCCTACCAGCTAGCACCGCAGGTCCCTGTGCCCTTTGAGAGCAGAAGGTCAGTGCCTGCTCCTGACTTATTTGTTGGGGCTCCAACTATTTGCTGCCAGCCAGGGCACAATGTCCAGCTCGCACACAAAGCTCTTAGCATTAGGTGTGCTCCTCTATAAGCATGTCCACCTTTAGTGATGCAGCTCTTTTTTGGCTTAAGACTTCATGTAGTCAATTTTGCTTAGTAGAATGGTGTTGCTGGAAAATGTATGTGGTAGCTAGATCACAGTGTTACTCTCTCTACCTGTTCTGGTGCCCTGCCCTAGAATGGCACCTTGAGCCGTGTGATTATGGATATTCTCAGTTCAGTCAGAGAGAAAATGACAGGTTTCTGCCAGGCTAGGCCTGGGAAAGAGTTTCAAAGGAATGTAAATAATTCTCTATCTCTCTTGTTGTTCACATTTGTTTGTAGGTATGTTTTGCTACTGTCCGTCATTCAGCACACGCCAATGACGTGACATGTTTTTACTTTAAGACCAATGAAATTGGTCTGCACAATGTTCCCTATAGAAAGAGCAGTGTATTTGAAATAAATCAGTTTGCTTCTTGTCTTCTGAATTAGAATCTTTTTGTTCCTGTCCTGCCTCAATGGTGACATGTGATGTGTTCAGGATGTGTCTCCCTCAGGCAGGAGAGATGTGGGCACTAGAAAATGAAATGTCCAGGGATAAGAATGTGTCTGTACGAAAGGTCAAGGATAGGATGACCCTTGCTGGTGATTAGGTACTTAGATGCAAAGGTCAGAGAAACACCAATCAACATTCTCAATTCTGTCTCTTGTAATTAGGCACTTTTGCATCTTGAAAAAAAAAAAAAAATAAGCAAGGGCTGTTTTGGTAAAGATGCCATATTCCATATCTACACCTGCTAGGCTACCTTGTGTAGGGTGCTGTTCTGTGTGAAAAATCCACTTGTAGGGAGAATGTGGAGCAGCCACATAGGTAGGCAGCCCTCATCTTCACTTAACATGAGTCATCTGTTGTCAGAAATGTTATGCCTTGTACTACAACTATGAGATTCAGTCTTGCAAATATGTCATCATGCTGAAGCCATCGCTATTAATTTTTGGTATAAAATTCCAGACAGGGCATTTGGTTACACTTTGACAGTAAAATTCAGGTTTTCCTTCTGTCTCCATTGTTTGTGTAAGTGTGTAACTCGACAATCACACACTGATTGCACACAGTGAAAAGCTGTGAAAGGAATGAGAGGGAGTTTTTACAAACAAACTGTGGGCCTGCTGGTAGATAGAGCCAGGTACTGATAGGTGAAAGAAGCAATAGTAGAAACCATAAATTCTGGAGGACTGTTACTCACCCAAGGCCACGCTAAATTCCTGGAGTTTGAGAAAAAGAACAGAGAAACAAAGAAAAGGGAAGGGGGGGAGGATGCGCATTAGAAGAGGGTCTGTATTAGGTGATTAGGGAAGTCTGTACCTCTCAAGTACCCTAGACAATAGGGAAAGAAAGAAGGAAAAGGGGCTGAGAAATTAGGATAAAAAGGAGGATGCACCCCCCAGCAATTCTCCTTTTATTCTTTAAAAAGCTATGGGACTCCATAGCCGGAGTAAAAACCTCTGGCATTTTGGATTAATTTTCCTGACAGCTGCAAGCAAAAAAGGGATTGAAAATTACTTTAATTTGTCATGTAAGACTTTTAATCAGATCGGAGGTTGAAATCTCTTACATAAGTTTTGTTTTGATTGACAACTCAGAACATCAGAAAACTAAGGATTTTTCTAAATATTTACATTCATTTTAGGAATCAAAATTATACATATAAAGACAAGATATATTTATAGCAAACACTGGTTTTTGGCTGTCGTTGTGGAATCACTCTGAGCAGTCTTTTTTTTCTCTTTTGAGGCTTCACAAAAAAAGGCCCATGGAACACCAAATCTCTATTCTTACTGCTGAAATATATCTGAATTCCTCATAGTCATCCCTCTCCAAAGACACTATGACCTTCAAAGTACCTATTAAAGCTGCAAGGACATTATAGTCAGTGACGGCACTGACCACTGATGGTTGTCTGTTATCTTTCATATACAGCATAACCTTGATTCGAACTTGTAGAATATTGAAATAAAAATATCTTTAAAATTTCTAAAAAAAAATCTGGATACAATGTGTGCTGAGGAAATCTAGTGTACATGCTGCAATTGATACCAAAATGCTCCAAAAAATCTGCAAATATTTGGCGAGATTTTTCATATGCTGTAGTAATGTGATGTTGTTAATGTCTTTCTCCAGATTAGTACAGGACGACATACCTTCCCAGTTCCTTCTTCACAGTAAAAACACAAAATAAACCAACAATTCAGAGGAAAGGACAGTTGATCTAAGCGAACACTTCTTATAAATTATTTTATTCCTTTATCATACTATTGAAAACTTTTTCATGAATTTTTCTTAATTATGGATAGCTACATTTTACAATATAAGAACTGTGCAGGAATAATGATATTTTTGCTTTGTTGACTTATATTTTTCTGCTTTTAATTTGAAACATTTCAGAGCCTGAGAGACTTGACTCCCACTACCAGGATTTTGTAAAGCTCTTTGCAAGCAGATAATTGCCTGAAGTTACTGTCATTATTTTCATGCAAAACAGTTTGTGATCTCTTGAATGAAATTGAAACTTGAAAGGGTACTAAGATCAATTAAATTAGTTTTCTTCTGCAGTAAGCATGCCCTGCAAAAGGGGGTCTACATGAGAGCCAGGAGAGATGCAGTGATTATATTCAAAGCTTGGAATAATCTGTAGAGGATACACCTTATTTTGTTTTACAGTGTGTCCACAGACTTTTTCAGCATCCCAAAACGAAGAGAGAACAGGGTTGTCTTTAATCCTGCCTTTCGAAACATAGCAAGAATTTAGATACAGTTTCAAGTTACCATAATAAGGATAAAATTAATTTCAAAAGAAGGTGGTATATACAGTGAAGTTATCATGATAGAGGAAATGTTAGTTTCGCATGAACGATTGGAATAAAGACAGCCTCATCACAAAAATCAAGACTGCAATCGCCATTCTTTGGGCAATTGTGGCTGAAGGGCTAAGATTTTGTTGTTACTGTGGCTGATAAAACAGATAAACGCCCGCCCGAAATATCAGTGCCCAGAAAAATATCACTTTTCCCTCTGCGGAAAAATGCCTTGATGAGTCTCCTGGCATGTCACTATTGGTCATATTTATTGAGACATTTTTATTTTGAGGCAGCAAAAGTAGGCCCAGAACTGTGAGCAGCTGACAAGGCATGCTGCACTAAAATCCGTCACCACGGGGGCTTAGTGACGGATGGGAGCCCCATCCCGGGTTTCGCTGGACGGAGCGGAGCTACCCTGGGAACTCACAGTGTAGGGAGCGCCTCTTTCGTTGGTGTCACTTGTTAGAGGATGCAGGTTGTACCAAAAGACCCGCGGCGACACCGCGGTGTGCCGGCGCCACGCTTGAACCGCCGCTGCCACACAACGTCCCCACACGGGGCGCAGCCGGGGCGGCGGGGCGCGCACCAGATGAATAACAGAGCGGCGCACCGCATTGGTCAGCGGGTGTGATTGACAGCTCCGAGCCTGCGCGATAATTGGCTGCAGCTGGGCACAAGGGGCGGGGTGGGGCGGATCCGGGCGCCGGGATTGGCTGATCTGTTGCTCGCGGTCGCGCGTGCCGGCTGTGGGCGGGCTCGGCCGCGCTTAAAGGCGGCGGGTGCGCTGTGGGAGCGCTGCGGGGTTCCATTGGCTGCAGCGGCCCGGCCGGGGCGGGGCTGCGCGAAGGTGCGGCGGGGCCGGGGCGGCGCGGGGGCCGGTGCTGCTGCTGCCGGGCCGGTGCTGCTGCTGCCGGGCCGGTGCTGCTGCTGCCGGGCCGGTGCTGCTGCTGCCGGGCCGGTGCTGCTGCTGCTGCGCCGGTGCTGCTGCTGCTGCGCCGGTGCTGCTGCTGCTGCGCCGGTGCTGCTGCTGCCGCTCTCGCCCGGCGGTGCGTGTTGTTGTTTCGGCCCCGCGCCGAAACAGCCTCGCGGGGGAGAGGGCAGGGGGAGGTCGGGGGAGGCGAGGCGAGGCGAGGCGGCCGCGCGGATGATGACGGGGCTGGTGGGCAGCCCGGTGGGTGCCGTCATGCAGGAGAGCATCGCGTGCTCCGTCGCCAATCGCTTCTGCCACCTCCTGGACGACGAGTCGGACCCGTTCGACGTCCTGCGCGAGGTCGAGCGGCTCCGGCAGCAGCGGAAGAAGCGCGGCGAGGCGGCGGCCGGCGGCCGGGCGGGCGGCGGCAGGAGGGAGCCGCAGAAGGAGCCCCCGAAGGAGCGCAAGCAGCCGGGGAGCTGCCCCGCAGCCTCCCCCGCGGCGCCGCCGCAGCCAGGTAGGCGGCAGTGCCCCGGCGGCCGGTTTGGGAGCGAGGGAAGGCGGTGCCGGCGCTGCGGTGCCCGGTGCGGGTCCCGCGGCGTGGGTGCTGCCGGCTCCGCGCTTCGCCGACCTCTCGCAGCCCTGGCGTGGCGGGGGAGCGCTGTCATAGCGGGGCTGAAAAATCCTGGTTGTGGTGGGGTCATTGTGGTGAACGCGCTTGGAAGTCCCCTCAGAGAAAGCAGTGATGCTTGGGCACGGTCCCGACATATATTGCCGAGCACTCTCAGCCGAGAGGGCCTTTGAATATGTAAATGAAAACTTCAGCAATATCCCAAAGAGACAAGTGCAAGAGTGTCAACTACGCTGCGGCATTGGCAGCTTTCGTGTTGGTTTAGCAGCGCTGTTGCTGCCTTTCGTTGCTTGTCACCCTGGGCAGTATCCTTCAGTGTCTGAAGTTTCCAGGCATAATTTCTTGGTACCTCTGCGTTTTCTGGCCTTTCAGTGTCTTCAGCGTTCTAACGTCTCCAGGGATCTGCACTGATTTTGCCTTGAACCTGAACCTTTGAATAAATCTTATTTCCTGGGTAACTCTTCAGCAGGTGTTCAGGAATGGTCAGCTGCTATGTTTTGATGTGTAATACTGCTTGGGAAAAGAGGGAGTCAGTTGGCTTTTGTACTAAAATGTCTGTCACAGTCCTCTTTGCAGCTGGAGGCTTTGTGGGCTATAGCTTCTTGCATTTGGAGCTGATTGCTAGTCTTAGTCTGATTGTTACTACTCACCGGTATTGAGCTTCAGGTTGCTGGATTCAATATCAAAAGTATCTCAGAACTGGTGGATTATTTCCAAATATTGAGAATCTCTGCACAGAAAATGTGCAAAGGGTTTACAGCTCAACCCTCTTGAGTTGTAAATTCCCATTCTCCTGCAGGAAGCAATGAAGCTGAACACATAATCTATTATTAAGTTGTTTTCTTCCTCTAGTAAAAGCTCCTGTTAAACTCACAGTAATTGTACTGTGTGTTTTAATGCCCTAGAAAAAGGTCTTTGAATCGTGGTTGTTGCTCCAAGTTATTGCCAGTGCTACCGATTCTATTGCTTAGGCTTAGAGTCCTATACGTTTCCCAACAGCAGTTACTTGATGCATTTTTAGCAGTTTGTGGAGCGGAGAATCTTTCAATGCTAGATACGTGCTGGGTAATGAGCACCTTTGTAAAGGAAGATATCAACAAGTTATCACTGTCTTTGTGCGCAGTTATATGAAACTAACCTTTTTGAGATTTCTCTGCAGTTGAGTGACTTAGTCTCCTGAAACCAATGTTTAGACCATAACAGCTTATTTTATTTAAGGGTTGCTTTGCTGTGGTTATCAATGGCAGTTGAAGGAGTCTGTTCAGTGAACAGCAAAACCTCAAGTTCTGATGAAAGTGTCCTTGAACGAGAACTGGTGGTTATCAGTATCTTGCCGTGGTAGGATGTTATGCGTGCTATCATGTGAGCATGGTAGTATGTGAAGGCTGTCCTTTACCTCCTGCTTGTTGATAAGTGTCTCCATTCTTGGCAATGCACAGTGGCCCTGTGATGTGTCTTTGATTATTCTCTGCAACCTTGGTGTTAAGAAATCTCTTTTCTCATACAGAGACAACAGGCATGTGCACCTTGTTTCAATTTCCTGATAATTTAAAATGGAGAAAAGACTGCTGACTATAGTACCCTTAGTGAAAGGACATTAAGATCTATTTTAAGAAGAGTTATTTCTCTTCTATGTTTAAAAACACACTTTCCTCTTTAAACGTAGCATCTCTTTGGGATTTTGTGTGTTTGTCTTGGGCTTGTTAGGAAGTAAGGACTATAAAAGTACAGTGCCTAAGATGTTAAACCAGTGTGGATAGTCAAGACTTGGTCTTGACTGTGTGTTCTTCCTTTAAATGTTCTGTCTCAGCCAAGTCTGCTCTGAGTGGCAGAGAACCCTCTGAGTTAGGGTATATGCACAAGTGATGATGTAGCTGACAAATGTTAAGTAAGTGGCATGTTGAGAGAAAAATCTTGCATTTTTTTGGAAGGGAGTGGGTCAGCTCTCTACTGAGCCGTACAAAGCTTGACAATTGAGAATGACCAACCTCTAGGGAATGTCCTTGTACTCTCACAGTTTGGCATAAAGCTTCTAATAACAGATGCGTTGTTAGAAGAGTGCACCTCTCCTTAGGGAAATAAATAATGTTGATTAAAATTACTAAATTGTCAAACTAATTTCTAAACTTCTAATTAAAAAAAAAAAGAAAAACAACATACCAAACTTAAGACTTTGTTTCTAGACTTTCTTAGTGATTTACACCCCCCCCCCCCCCCCCCCCCCCCGATTTTGGGGATAACTACCTTTAACTTAATTCTACTTATTAGTAATTATGCACAAAAAAGTAGCATATAGACGCATCTGAACAGCAGAATCAGATTCTAGTAGTGTTACAGTTGAAATGATGGATTTCACTGTATTGTACTAGTGTTCTTGGAATCATTACAGAACAAGGTTGAAATGCTATGTTGGAAGGATGGTCTGGTCCAACCTTTCCTAGGAAAGGCAGCCTTCAAGACCTCATCTGCTGTCTTGTCCAGTTACAATTTGAAAGCCTTCTTTGGTGGGGGCTTAGCCCTGAGAAGGTTGTTTCAACGTAAGGTAGCACCAGAAAGAAATTCTTAACAAAGATGAAATCTCTTCTTGTGCGACTTGTCCCCACTGTAGCCACTCATTTTCATGTGGCTCCTTGTGAAGAGTGCCTTTGTCATTGCAGCCTTTCAAATACCTGGGTGCTGTGATGAGGCTTATGTGAAGCCCTGTCCAGGGAAGAAGAGACATAGACCCTTCAGTCTTTTTTCATAAGGCAGACTCACCAACCTTTTCATAAGGTTCACAGCCTTCTTTTGGATATTCTCCAGCCTGATCATCTTCATAACCCTGCTTTGGACTCCTCCAGACGGTTTTATCTAATTGCTACAGTATTTGCTTGTTTGGACTGCAGCAAGTCTTGTTAAGTTTCATGATTTTTGTTTCATTGTAGTATTATTTCTTAAGCATATTCAATCTGTAAAAAGGGTCTTTAGAAAGACTCAAAGCACATCTGGTGTTGTATCTTGCACTATAAGAAGTTTTACAGTAGTCAGATTTTTTTGTGGTATTATGTTTTAATGTTTGAGTGGAAGGTTTAGTCACAAAGTCCTATAAGATAGTTTGTTGGTTTTTTTAAAATGTAATTCTTCACTGAGTTTTTCAAAGCAGGTTTTACTAAATTTCTGGACATATTTTCAATTTGAAGCAAACCTCCTGAGAGGACTTTGCTAGATAATGCAATACTTTGAACTTTAGAATCCAAACTATTTATTATGAAATGGCACAACTGTAAGGAGACAACTCTTTATGCTTTGTTTTTTATGGAGAAAATGGACTCCTATTTCATTGTCTACCAAAACATAAACTTTTTACCTTAAAGATGTATTTTTTCTCTTCTGCTCACTGTTGTTTTGTGTTTTTTAGACTGTATTAGCTGAGGATTTGGGTAAAGACTGGTTTTTGGTATTGCAGCTCTTGTAATTGCACCACTTGATGTTAACTCGGTTCATTCTTACCACAGTGACCAAACTGCATTTGCCAGCTCTTTATTCAAAAGACCCAGTTGCAGTGCTTGCAACTTTACCAGTCTAGGAAAATTAAATTTGTTGATCATGCAGTAATGCTCTGTTCTTTTGAAATCTCTAAATCTTTGTTGCTAATACTTCGAAAAGGTTTTTTTTTTTTCTTTCATGTACATATGATGACTCTGGTAACCTACATATATAGTTCCTAAATAGTGTGCTTTTGAGTTTTTAGCTGTGGTTTTAAAATAGCATGGAAGTTTCTATGGAGTTTTATCTTAGACTGACTGTAATTTTCTTATTTTTTAATATTTTATCCTGATAGCATTCTTTTAACTGCAGTGTTATAAGGATTGTCTAGAGGAAAGGTGTGATAGGCAATGCTCTAATTCAGCAAGTACTGGTACATATGAAAACAAAATGGCACAGGATAGAGTCTAACACCCTGTGTGTCTTTGGTGTGCTGCTTGCAATAGCTGAAGCTATTGTTTGATATTAGAATCACACACATTCAAAGGGGAGAAAGTGAAATTGGTTTTGGAGCATTAATTCTTCTACTCTTGAAAATTTAGCAAAATAAGTGTTTGAGTGAGGGTAAATTGCCTTTTACTATTTCCAGTTATGAAGTTTTGTTGGAAGATTAGCTGCCTGTGTATAGGTTGTTAAAGAAGTTTATTCACCCTAGGCTTCCCACAGCTGACATCCAGTTTCTGGGGAAAAAAACATTAATAAATTTGTGGTACTGCAACAGGTACAGCTCAAGCTAGGTGCCTCACCAGAGGGACTTAGAACAAAGAAATACCTGGGATTTTATACCCTTACAACCTAATCACCTGTTCTTTGCACACTCCACACACCTTGCATGCACATCTTACTCCGATGGTGATTTTTGTTTTGGAGTCTTCTTGTCCATATCACATTCTTTCTCTGTAGCTATCTTTATCTGGGTGGGGTTGCAGCTTCTGATGGTAGCTATGACTTCTAATCTTTTAGTTTGCACTGGTCTCAGAGCCTCCTTTCATTGTAGCCAAACAGTAGTACAAGACTCATTCGGCATTTCAAGGTGAAAATTTGCAACTTGTGGCCTAAAACTTCAGTATTTTGCTTGTGCTAAGCAAAACTACTTAGATAAAATAATTCAGCTAACTAAACTCAGTATACACTAGTCCTCCCTTTGTTTCTATTAAGCTTTCCCACTGTTGTCAGGAAGAACTCATTAAGTCTTTCAAAGCATTTAACTGCTATCAATAATGTCACATATTACAAGTAACAGGCATAATATCCTGAAGCTTTAACAGGAAAGTACATAATAGAGTGGTATGTGACTATTTCCATTTAGTTTCTAATTTGGATTTCTGTGAAAATACCTTAATTAATATTTCAGTAATACCATTGAGCATACTTTTTTTTTCCTCTCAAAGCTTTTTTGCATTTATTTAACATACTGGGTCCAACCTCTGGTCTCCAAGAGTCTGATCCTAGGTGTAATTGTTTGCCAAACACTAATCCTCTTGATGACAACCTTAGATGTTGACAAGGGCTATTTCCCAACATTGTGTAATACCCCAAAGAATACGGCTCATAAGCTTCAGGCCATTATGAACCTATCTGACTACAAGTTAGAGTTTTTGGGGTTTTTTTCATTTTGTTGGAGTCTTTTGTATGAGCTCAATAGTGTACCACAGGAATACTATCTGCAGAAATATTATTTTCTGCTGAAGCAAGGGACTCTCATTTTTTCCATAGCATAACCATTGCATGACACACTCCAAAAGCTTATTTCAACTCTGTATAAATAGTGGCACTTGCTGGTCATGTCACCACAAGGCTGCTTTTACTAATGCAATTAGTGTGGCCTCTTGGGTCATCAGCAAGGGTTGTAGAGGCTCAGTTTCAAGTGCCTCAAAGTTTCTCACCAGTGCATACCCTCTGTGTTATTTTCCATTTACAATGTATGGAGAGCCATTGGTCAGCAGTATAAGAGGGGGTAATGGTTGTTGGTTTTTCTTGTTGTTTTGATTTTTTTGTTTCTTTGGATGGGTTTGTTTTTTGCCTTTTTTGTTTGTTAATTTATTTTGGGTTTATTTATGGATTAAGCCCAAGTATCAGTTCTACATTAATGCTGATTAGTCCACAGCTCGACAGCTTTGTGACTGTGGTTTTCAACAATTCTGGTATTTTTTAGCTCCTTTTGTATGTTTGTGGTGATTTCACTCCTTCCCATAATGATTAGATCTATCCATTCAGGCAACAAATGTAACTCGGTGTCTCAGGTCTGTAAGAGGTCTCTTTTTATGCTGGGAAGTCTTCTGTCAGTGTGACCCTCCCACAAACACTCTTTTTCCATTTGCTCTTTGTAAGCAGTTACTTCTCTCAGCTTGTGAATTGCATACCAGCTATCACCATCACATCCTCACATTAGGAAGTGGGAGAAACAGCAAGGTTTCTACTTTAGCTTATAGTCACTAATAGCAGTTGCAAGCTGGGCTCCTTCGGTGTTTGTCTGAAATCAAGGCTTTCTACGAAAAAAAAAAAAACATTTAAAATGCAAAATTTTGAAAAGGTGAGAGCACACTCTCTCACTACAAGCCAGCGAAGAGCCACAAAATCTAGAGAGTTACCTCTTTCCAAGCAAAAGTCTCCCTTGTTTGAGGATAGATTATATGCATGGAGGAAGTTGCTGAGAGCTAGATAGCAACACTGGAAAGGCAGCTAAATTTTGCTGCATTGTTTTATATCCATATGTTAATACACAGATATCCAGTGTCTGGGAAACCAAGCAACAATACAGGTTATAAAAATATAAGTTATGCTTTTCCAGTAGCAAGTTACATGTACATACTTATTAAAAACATTTCTCTAGAAAGTCTTCTTATGTAAGTGCTGCAGTGTTAACAAGACTAATACTAATAGGGAAGTATTATTGTGGGGAAAGTGAAAACTACTTAACTATATTTGCTGTAAGTATGATTTAGAGTTTTAACAACATCTTGTAAAATTGAGCTTTTTTTTTCTTTAGCACTGTCTAGTACCAGTACCTGGTAATTTTAGTATTTACAGATTCTTTCCCTCTAATAATAGCTCAGCTGCTGCTTCTGGGGAAAAAGAAAGCTAGGTCTGTCAAAACACAGATCTCTTCTGATTCCTCAGTTTAAAAAGTAAAGCGATAGGCAGCTCAGCCAACAGACTGGGCTGATGTGGTAACAATCCAGGAAAGCTGTGGTGAAGTGGAGAATGGTGGGAGGGACACATATTCAGGTGAATGCAGATTACAGATGTAATTTTAAGACACAGAAAAACAGCTTTAAAGTGAGACTAAATTAGGTAACTAGGAAAGAGTGATCTTCAGTTTTCAGAATTGTATTTGCAAGGCCTCAAGTATGTGATCCACAGAATTCCAGAGCTTTTTTTTTTTGTGTGTGTGTGGTTTTGAAGAAAGCTTGCATACTAGATTATGTAGACAAGCAAGCAGACAAAATTGGGGTGTATTTGAAGAGGCAGTTATTAAGCAAGAATTCAGAGTGTGCCCCAGTTCTTTAATTTATTATGTTGGTGATATACAAGGTGGCTTATGCTTTCTCTTGATTTTGTTGCCTTGTTTTATTGTTCCCTGAAGTGTAGGTGGCTCTTGAGCTCTGTGAATTAAACTGAGGACATACACATCTGTGCTAGGACACACACGTAGCAGAGGATTAAGATTGTAGAGTTTATGCTATCACTGCTGCCAAGCTCCAGTTTGGTTTGCACTTACATGCAGAACTGAAAGTTGAGCTGTCTTTTTGAACTGATTCACAGCAGGTCACACAAACTCTGCCCTAAGGGTGACTTATCCTACTAGAGAGATACAGGTGTTGCATACTGCCTTGATCACTACTTCATGTCTGTCAAACTAATTAAAGATGTTTTTGTGGCACTTACTACCTGTATAGAATAGTCTTGCTAGTGCTTAAAATCCATCTGCAGTAAATGAAGCCACCTGTTGGAATCAAAGTGAAACAGCCTGGTACTCAAATTGGAGTGGAACAGACGGCTCCATCCAGTACACTCAGTGCTGCTGGCATGTAGTGCACTGACATGTCTAGCAAGAGGACTTGTGTTGAAGTCCTTCTAGGCAGTACTGGGTAATAAAATGAGGAACTTATATTTTTAAAATTGCTACTGTGTCTTCTTTTTTTGCCATTATTTTGCTAGTTTGAAGGAGCTCTTTGAATCTCAAGGTGAAATTGAGGTTAATACGAAGTACTAGGGATGGGTGTGTCTGACTACTTTATTCTTGCCAAGGGAATCTTTTTAGAATAACTGATGCTTCTTTTAGCCAGTGATAAAGGATCAAAAATAAATAACACAATAGTCTTCTATGCATTGTTCTGCCTTCAGATACGAACACAATCATTAAAATGAGGCCAGAAATTAGTAGTAATTTTTTCCACAGCAAGATTCCAATTTAGAATTAGCATTTATGTAGTTGGTAGTGTAGTTGAGATGTGTGTAGAGCAGATGTTTCCCAACAGCATCTACAGTTCTTCTGTAATTTTGCTTTGTGTTAAACTGTCCTGATTTGAAAAACTTACTCAGGAACTGATATCAAAAGTTGTCCTTTATCCAGAGACTACATCGTAATTTGAGTAATGCTGATATGCTCAGTGCTCTAAGGGTTGAGTAACTCCAAACCTGAGAAGAGAGAATTACTGGAAGATATTATGTCAAGTGTTTGTAGTGTAAAGAAAAGCAAAGCTGGAGTTGCTTCTGCGCCACATATAAAACTATATTCTCTGTACAAATATGACTCTTCTTACTGCATAACAAAAAGCTTTATTTACCATATGCACCAAGTGGACAGTTCTTTGAAACTTTCTCTTTACAAATGGTATTAGACTTCATCCTCACTGCCTAAGGTTTGATCAAAAATCTTCTTATATGGACATTTATCTGGGGCTATGAATTAATTTGCATATTAATATTATGACATAAAATAGCCTTTTTCTCTCTATGTTCTAGCAACAGAGGTAGCCAGGACTGCCACTTGTCCACTAACCTGAGTTCAGTAATCTGCTCGGTATTCCCCAGTAGCACAGTACTTCTTGTGGAAACAGTAGCTCTGGTTTGTTTGAGACCAGTCTTCCTGTTCTTTGCTTGATAGACTTACGCTGTTGGTGGAAAAAGGTGTTGGTTTCAATATAGAGGCTAACAGACCAAATGGCTTGCTTGCTTGCTTCTGGAGAACTTGGTCTGGGACAGAGAACAGAATTTGGGAAAACAGGAAAGGAAGCGCATAAAGAACCTTAATCTTCTGCTAGATAGGAGTGTAAAACTGCAATTTTTTCTATTATAATTCACAATTTCTTTCCATTCATTCTGCCCAACCTAATTCTCCTCAACCCCAACAATGGCTGAACAAAACTCTAAAAAGCCTAAGTATATTTTATCTTGGAATATGTTTATGTTCTAGAATTAGTGGTGTTGAAGTCTTTCTACTTACTGTTTGGGTCTCTGCCAACTGAACTTGGTGACCTTTAGTGTTGTTGAATGGTGCTTTCCTCCATAGAACAGCAACGTGAAGAGGTGACCCTGTGCTGGTTGTTTGATACTGTGGCCATGAGCTTAGAGGACCTGGAGGCTTACATGTCTAAACTAGGCTCATGTGGCAGGAGGTGTGTTATTTCACAATCAACTATCTGTTAGGGGTCCTTCTCTTTCCCTCACCTTCATTGCTTCTGATGCTATCTTTCAATTAGTCTTTTCCATTGAAGCTTCTCTACCTCATCCTGTACTACAATTTCATGATCCTTGAAAACATGAGAGAAACAGTTTTTCTTCTCCTTTTCTGTGACTTGTGAGCAAAATGAGATTTTTCTTTAGACTATGTTTTCTGGAAATCTTTCGCTATGTCAAAACCCATAGTATTTTGCAGGTTCATCAATACAGAAGGTAAAATAAGTACATGTCTTTCAAAGAAACAGTGTCTGGCAACATTAGCTGTAAGGACTTCTAATATTTTGGTGGACTTTGGTTTGGACATATAGCCAACTCACTTCAGTCAGTAGTTTGGTAACTGTGATTGTGTTACTGTTGAGCTGTCAGTAATCCCTGCATATGTTTGTGTAGGCCCAAAGCAAGTACCCAAGCAGGGAGAAGAACAAGGGTTCAATAACAGAGGCACAGAGGGGAGACAGAACAAAACTGAATGGAGAACATCTTTCAGGGAATTCCGTCCCTATGGAGCACAAAGACAAGTGGAATTCTCAGTGGAACGGTATGTATCCTGCAGAGAGAACTAAGGTTCCTTCACGGAGGATCTGTGCATTATTACTGTGCAGGTTTTTTGCAAGAGTCCTTGCTTCATGCCTGTCAGAGCTGTAGTTTCATCTTCCTCGGGGCTTGAATTGGTGGTACATGTTTGTTGAATGTTAGAAATATAAGGCAAAACTGAAAAATGTAAAGTTCTGAAAATGTACTCCCTAGTCAGCAGTGTATTTATAATGTTAGTTTCTGAGCTCACATATCAAGCTGATTTTGCTTTCTTTGTAAATACTAGAAGATTCCACCTAAACCCTCAATGCTTCAGAATGTTACTGTTCTTACTTTATACCTCAATAGTTGATATTTAACAAGTTGTCTGAAATTTTTAGCAGTTGCATATAAATATGGTGGAAATATTACATGATGAAGTTGTAAGGATTTGACAGTTTTAAAATGTTTTCTTTAGTTTCTGTAATGTTTTCAGTGTTAATAATTGCTGTTCTTCCTGTTTCTGTGTGCTGTAATAATTCCTCCAGAGTTCAGTTTATGTCCATTTTCAATAACAAAACCAAAACAAGCTGTAGTGTGTGCTGTAAAAAAATGCACTCTATAAATTGTGCTGTAACTGTTATATACTGGTTTGTCCCATAGCTGCACAAACATAATAGTATGAATTTTTTTCTTCTTGTTAACTGTTCAGTAAAAACAAAAGTCTGACTAATTACCTTCTTCTTAGACCAGTGGAAAGATTAGATGATGAAAGACCAATAAGAGGCCGTGGTGGGGGAAGAGGCAGAATGAGAGGTAGAGGAAGAGGTGGTGGATTAAATGGAAGTTTTGATGGGTTTGACCAAAGAAGAAAACAAGAACCTGAAAGACAAAGTGGGAATGATAAAATGTAAGTGTTCCGTGTGCTGTTTCTTACTTGGTATACAAGTAACTAATAGTCAACACTGCAGTGTGGTCTTTTATGTATTCTGTTCCCTTCCATATCCAGGGTGGCTGGCAAAATGCCAGTACTGGTTTTAGTTTGAGGTAATAAAAAAAAAAAGGAAAAATCCTTTTAAACTCATAGAATTGTTTTCCTCTCTAGAGGTGTGAAAGCAGGTGACAAAAAGGATGGAGGTGGAGCTCATAACTGCAGAACATTGAAAGATGATACGAGGCATGTCATATACGTGTGCCCATCATAGATGATAAATTTCTGTGGCCTATGTTAGATCATAATTTTCATCAGTTTCATGTCCCATTTTGAGCTTTATAAGCATTGCTTTCTCTTATTGTTGTAATTAATGTAATTTTACATTTTTTTAACTTGACTCTTTTTCGTGATGGTAAGATTAAATTGAAGCAAAGATATGATGTTTGTTCACTTAGGACAGCCAGAATCTTTTAACTGGGGCTGAGTTGTCTTTTAATGGAAATAAGTTATTACTTTTTTCAATAGTAAAGTACATGGGACTCTGGTATTTAATGGAATTCCTCCAAAATGCTAATTCTAAGATTAAAACTCAGTTGCTGGGCTCTTTTCTGGAGTTTTATGGATAATTTCTAAATTGCAAAACTTAAGTACATTTCATTGTCGTTCTGAAGGTAATATTGAGTTGACTGTACCATGGAAGTACATTTTAAAGTGCCAGAAAAATCAGTAGCATAATGTGATTAATGGCCACTTTGAGGTAAAAAAACCCTAGGACTTTTCCGTTCAGTTCTGTATATCTCTTAGGGTACTGATTTCTGTTCAGATTTGTAAAATTTCACTGATTATGTTGGCGTTTGTCCATTCTTTGCACCTAGCAATACATTGCTATTTCCAGTGGCTTTTGCTCTCATATACATCTAGAACTCTTTCATTGAAGGCTGATAAAGGATGGAGAAAAAGCTGTGCCTTGAACTTACAGCAAATATATTTGGCCACATACACATCTATTGACAAAATGTTTAAAAATAAAATTTTCTTTAAAAATGAAATCTAATTTTAAAACTTAATGGATTCAGACAATAATGCTAAAAGTTTGAAAAATATAGCCTTCATGTGTATTAATTTTTGACTCTTGATATTCCAAATTCTTCTGAAAGATTGTATTAACTTCTCTCCCCACTATGGAATTTCATATTAAGAGTAAACTGGTTAGGTACCCTGGCTTTTCCAAGGATAAGCTAGGTTAACATTGATCTGAACTGATAGTACGAAACTAGCTTGCAGAAATCTGTGTTCTGTAGGATATCAGGGAAGGCTTCATAAACTTAAAAGGTATTTATTGGCCCTTACATATTTTCTTCCTAGTTAAGGTTTGGTTTTTTTGGATTTTTTTTCAATTCAATAGCACCAGAACTTAGACCAATGTTTTCCTGTGATGTGGTAGAACTGACACAAAATTAAAGGTCTCTGAAGCATTCTAAAAGCATGTCTGTGTCCTAATTGTGCTAATAATGCATTGAGGCTAAAAGGTGTTAATTTTAAATATGTGTGCCTGCTACTGGAATGAAAATAGGTTTCTGCTGTCATTTGACAGTGAATTAAAGTTCACGTTACAGAAAATACAAACTTTAATTATTTGAAAGAAGCAAAAAGACAACACCAAATGTCAGTGTTATACTGACAACTAATACTAATCATGGTTAGTATTCATGATTAAATTATTTAATCTTCATACATGCTTTATTCTTTTTTAAATGAAATAGGTTTTTTCCCAATATTCCCGAAATATGCTCATTTTGTTAGTTGCTCAACTAGTTGCTTAGTAGATCTTTCTGCTTATGATCAAAGAGTTTTCTCTTTTTTCTCTTCACCCCCCCCCCCCACCTTTACCAAGGAATTCTGGTAAAAGAAGTAATGTATTGATTTGATTTTTTTCCAGTGTGACTCATGAAGACTGTGGTTTTGTTTTGGCTTGTTTGCTTTCAGTTTTAGGGGGAAGGAACAGACTGCATCTATGGAGGAGACCGTGGAAACTCTTGGACAGCCAGGGACACCTGAAAGACAGCCTCTGAGCAAGTACAGTCAGACAAATATTTTCTTTCTAAATGCAAAGGAAACAATTAACTCTTATTGATGTACTTGTATTGAGGGGCACACTTGAAATGTGAATGGTGAAGTTTTGCTAGTGCATCTATTTAAAAGTAGAAAAGCTTTGTTTTGTATTTGTGAGTATGGAAGATATATCCCTAATTCCTAAAGCTTGATTTATACAGTTGAAGATTGCATTTAATTGCATTTAAGGAGAAACTACATAATATGTTTTACCTTTTTCACTTGTCTAATTTGTAGAAGCTACCATGCTTTTTGATGTTCTCTGACAACAGGTATTCGAGGTGTCCATGCAATTGTACAAACACATTTAAAATACACTGATCTACTCTAAGTTTGTATTCACCAATCAATCATATCATGTAGATATAATTTATTTGTTAGAGGCCATGGTAGAACTTGTAAAAAATTTCTGAAAATGCAGTGATTCTTAGAGTAGAGAAACTGAGAGAGAAATGTGCCCATTGTGTTCTGGCTTTCATTCTAACAAGTGTCACAGCAAATAAATGAACCCTGGCTTAAGAAAAATAACTGGATAGTCTTGTCTAAGCAGGATATTTAAAGAAGACTTAAATAGCATGTGGTGTATATCTCCTAATGAGTGAAAGATGTCAGTGCAGTATGTCGACCTCTTGTGTTGCTGTGAAGCCTTTTTTTACTTCATAGAGCAGCTCCAGATGTTAGTGATATGGGTTCATTTATTAATTATAAAGCTGACTAGACTACAAAACCTGTTTTATGAGTTCAGGTTGTTTAACCCTGTAAGAAGTTCAGTTGATAGAACTTAAATTCTTTTGATTTTAAAGTAGGTTTTAATATATAGCTAAAGGTGTGTACACATGGGGAAATACATCTTTGAATGACTTAGGACTGAAAAAATGTTTCTAGGCTAACTTAAATTAGATGGACAATGTATGTACACTGGCAAAAATGCACTGTATTAGCTAAATATGAAAACAGTTACTCAGCTTTTTAAAAATTTTGATTTTGTCTGTTGCTGGTACCTTTGCTTATTTCATGCCCGTACGTGTTTCTGCTTCAATTCAAGCTCTTTGTAGATATGTCTCTATCTGTTCATTGTAGAGCTTAAGGCATGAGAAGTATATACAGTGGAGAAGGCCCCTGGCAGTATTTGCCAATTATCTTAAACTCTTTCAACCTAGAGATCCCTAAGTATTCAGTTAGACTGGGAGCCTTTCTGGAGATTTTACTCCCATTTGTATTTTTCTTTTTTTAAAGATTAATTTAGGTATAGTCCACTGAAATTCAAATTATTCAAAAAAGAAAGTAACCTAGAAGTACAAAATTCTGCACTCTTTACTCCTTTCAGGGCAATAAATACTGTGTTAAAGGCTTACAAATCTATATACAAAATATAAGTTACATAAATCTCCCTGCACTTACCTTTTGTGGGGCTGTCAGCTTGGTGACCCTATGTATTTTAAAACAGGAGACATTATGTGAATAGTGCCTTGGTCATTAGGGATGGTTATATGGCATACACCTTAACAAGATGGAATTGTTGTTATTTTAATGTTTAAAAGTAAAAGCTGGTAGGATATCGTGTTCAGGCTTCAGGATGTATTTAAAGGTCTTACATGCTTAGGTTGTCCCTGCTATCCAGGTAACACAAATTAGGCTACCTTCTGCTTTTGTAACAGCCTCAATATTATACAGGGTTGTGTGTTTGCTTGGGCTGCTGCTAGGGTCATTCTCATTTTGACACTAAAATGCAGTGCCTGCAAGAAAACCATTTCTTTTTTACTGCTTTATTGCAGTTGTGTGCTTGGATTGAGAAAGAGATTGAAGACTTGGATTTGTTTAATCTCTCACTTTCTTTCTAGTCTTAAGTGTTTCCATTTAAAATTGCAAGTATAAAAAGGTATCCTTGGAAGTTGGGAATAACCTGTCTGCATGAAGATGGTATGTAGTTTTCTGATGTGGTACTGGCTAATTTCCATGGAAAAGAGGTTCTGTGGACTTTTGTGACTTATGTGCTCTTCTCTTTAGGACTCTGTTTTGCCATTCCTGAGCTTCTATTTGCAGAGTATGGCAGGATAAGAGTTTCTTTAATAATTGTATAAGTCAAGGTGTTTTTTCCCATATCCTCAAATCTTCTTGAGTGTATCAACAATGTTTATCTCTAGTTATATCATTCCAAACTGCATGTTCACATAGGGCTTTTTTTTGTTGCAATAGCAAAATTAATCTCAACCCTGTATAAAATACACATGTAGTGGGCAAGTATAAACTGTTCTCACAACTGCTTTTTGTTGAACTTTTCTTCACAATTCAAACAATGTAAAACACTTGTGTTGACCAATTTGAATTAGTTTTTTGTGTTTTATTCAGTACAACACATGGGCTAATCAATTCCTGTTCCTAAAGGTATTTTCAGAGCTTGTATTAATCTTGTGTGGTTTTCTTACATTTTTTTTTTCTCGCATGATAGTTTTCCATTTTGGTGCAGCTATGTATCATATTGGTTATGTAATAGGAAGCTTTAACAACTTATCTTCAAGATGTTTTAGCTATTTATCTAATTTATTTGTTTTGTTGCTGTTTATTTTTTGTTGTTTAATGGTGGCATAAAGTTGTTCATAGATCAGGCCAGAGCTTCATAAGTATTTGATTCAGTGTTTTTCTTCCATAGTAAGTTTGTACAATTGTTGTTTGGTCTTGCCTTACTTAACTTTAAAGTTTTCTATAGCTGGTGATAATGCTCTTGTAAATAATGTTTAGTGGGAAAGCTTCTTGTCATTGACTTCTTGATAAAAGCTGGCTAAGCATTTGCTTTGTGCAGCTGAATAATACAAAAACTGATCTGAGAGAGACTTGCTGTCATTATTTTTAATATGAAAATAATAGCTGAATAGGTGAGCTAAATGTCATTCCTTTCATTTTGCCTTCCTTCTGGTAAAGAGAAAATGTATTTTGTTTTACTGTATGCACTGTAATCAAGGCATAGTTAAAGGGTTATTATCATCCACTGGAGACACTGAAGCAGTAGGAAACATTACTGAAGGCTCTCATTTAGTGATTTGGTAAGACTTACATTGTGTATTCAGTTTGTTCATGTGCAGAGGTTCTGCTTAGTTGTCTGGCATTGTTCTGTAAGCATGACTGCTGGTGTGCCAAGGAGCTTATTAATTTGATTAATGAAGATGCACACCAAGCAGTTATTAAAAATGTATAACTTAGAAGGTAGAGAGTAATGCACAGAATGCACTTCCTCAGCACAGAATGCTGGCTTGGTGCCCAAAGTAACTTGCTGCAATTAAGTTTCTGTCCAAAATGTGATATGCAGGTTTTTGTTGCTGTGCTTCACTCATAGGTGTTTCCCCTTGGGAGTCTTGACATCCTAAAACAAATTTGTACTGCTAATAACCTAGCAATTAAAACCATCCTTTGGAGTAAAAACCAAACCCGTACTTTGCAGTTGAAAAAACCAGATATTTACAATGTAAATCTGCAAGTATTTCCTTTGAAACAGGCAAGTGGATGTTTTTGATGTATGTATACTTTTCAAAGCAATAACTCTGGTTAGATTAAGTTGCTGTGTGGTCAGATGTTCTCATGTTATCTTATGATCATAGCAATTTAGACCTGAAAAGGGTCTTTTGGGTCCAAGGCATGGCCAATTTTAATTGTTGCTTCTGATACCTGTCTAGTTGATTTTAATGTACTCTGCTAATGGAGATTTCAATGTCCCCTGATGGTCTTTCTAATACTTAGAAAAATAGAAGCTGCTGTGTTAGTTTTTTTTCTCATAGATATGGAAATTTTTTTTAGCATTATGTATATTTCCTTTGCACATCTTTAAAGGTTTCCCATTGTACGTCATGTGTTTTAGACTCGTGTCTTGCAGTGCTGTTGTGGGCTTCTCAGCTGTTCCCATGTAGAAGACATTATTCAGTTGAGGTGTTGTTGCAGTCCACCAGCAATAACATCTGATGCAAACAAAACTGTGGCTCCTATCATACATACTATGTTGTTGAAGAAGGAACAGATACTTGAGTGCAGTGCTCCTGCACAATCCAGGGAGTTGAGGTCCCTCCTTCAGAGCTTCTATCTTGTTAGTGGTTCTTTTTGTGTCTGGGTGGCTGATATTTTGGCTGAGTGTACATATTCCTAGTTGTTTTGGTTGCTTGTTTTCAAGTCACTGGTCACTTTAGCATATCCTACAACTGAAGCAGAAACCATTCAGTATTCTTGAATACTTGCACTATTGCCCTTCTTTTGTGCAATCTTTGTGCCACAGAAAATGAAGTAAACATCATTTTACACTGTTAAAATACCATTCACATTCTTGGTTTTCTTTTGCAAATTGAAATATTGATAGCTAGTTCTCTAGTACTTTTTGGTGCCAGTTCTGCATCTCTTGCCAAGGACTGAAGCATTCTCTGTAATGTGGTGATTGGTTCATGGGAGAGGCAGCAAAAAGACTTCCTAAAGTTCAGATATGCAATTTACTGAGATAGTGGCGCTTAGGAAAAAATTAAATCAGTTTAATAGAGACACTTACTAGTTCTGTTTCTCTTTAATTTGTCTGAGTGTTTACTACTAGTCTTTTTTTTCAAACACTTATTCCCAAAACGGAAGGTTCAGATAATTGATCAAAACTTACTTGGCTTCTTACTCTTGAGGACAACAGATTGAAATATTTTTGGTGCTATGTGCTCTTAGTGCTCTTACAGATGCAACAGTATCTGTTTGAGTTTTTCCAGAAGTAGCTGCTTCTTTCACCAGTATCCTTGTTATGTAACTCAGTAAACTCTTTTTTTCCCCTAATAGTCCTTCTGATACAGTTTCAGATCGTAATGAGGAGGGAACTACAGACTGCCTACCAGTCTTCTAACCTTGAATTTCTGGTCGATAAAGCTGGAATTTTCAAAACAACAGGGCACAAAGACATGCAGGGGCAGGCATGTAGTGCAGGACTTCTGTATTTGTTATTCTTCTGTGAAATAAATTTAGAACTGTGTTAATACTAGAACTAAAATTAAGGGCTGTTTTAGTTTCAGTTCTGCTTCTCCCATTCATATGCTGGGTGTTTAGAAAAATACTGTCTAATTTTGACTGGCAAGAAATGAATGCTTTGCTACAGAATTATCAGGTAAGAAGGAGGACCAGGCCTGTTCCCATATAGGCTAATTCTATAATGTACTGTACCAAAAATGTGTGTATTCCAACGGGTTGCTTGTACAACTTTAAAACAAAATACACACAGTCACTGATTGTCATTTGACTCTGCATCTTTCCATGATAAAAAAGTTCCAATCTGCACCTAATAAACTGCATATTTACATTGAGGAAATTATAATTATTTGGTAGGACTGTGGAACTGTGACTGAATGCGGAAAACCAAATCCATTGTTCTCCTGAGACAGGTTCTAATGAAGGGGCTTTCCAGAAAAGTCATTGTTAGGGAAATACTTAGTAAACTTCAATTGCTATTGTAACAGTTTTCTATGTAAGGAGAAATGGTTTCTCAAGCATCTTGGAATAATCAGTGTAGGCTTTCCTGTACAAGTCATGGTATTTGACTTGTTTATGTAGCAGAGAGTTACGGTGATGTAGGAAAGTGTGCTCCCTGTATGTGATGCTAGTTAGTGGGTAACAGCTTTCTGTAGGTATCATTAAATATATACCTATAGTATTCTAAAAGCTGATGTCCTGGGAAGCCTCTTGTGATCAGCAGCAGAAAAGTGGCAGAAGAGTACTCAAGCATGATGAGTGGAAGAGAAGTTTTTTTTTGCTTATGTATCTTGTCTTATCTCTGTGTGTCTTACAGACATAAACCTTCTGTCTTTACAGTTCAAAAATATGCAAGGCAGCCTCTGATGTATTCCATATGTTTTTCTAGATCATGTCATTATTGTACTTAGTGACAAATGATAATTTGACTAGAATTGATCCGGTTTTGCCAAGTGATAAATACTGTCTGCTTGTCTGTTACTACATCTGACAAAAAATTAAAGGAAGCATCTTGTGAAATTAACAAAGGAAATGTTAATAATTACCTATAAGATCCCATGGTGCGATCATCATATGGTTATCATTTTTGATGACTGAAAGCTACACTGAAACATGAATTCATCCCATATTGTCATTGTGCAGTACAAAGGAATGAAATCATGCAATTGGAGTGTTTTAAAACTGCTCTGTGTGCTTTTGTTTTTTAACAGTGACTATACTTGATAGTGATAGATCCACTATTAAACTGTAGAGTTAAGTTGTGCCAGATAAAAAGGCAGAATGATTTTGTCTAGAATCTAAGTGCTTGAATTCAGGATGAGACTGGAGGAGTACTCATACAGGAAGCTGCAGAAGGCATTTGTTCATATGATTAATTTCAAAGAGTACATAAATATATACTCTAAGTTACATTAATATAAAACTATAACATGAAGTTACTTTGGGGAATAAGTGGAATTGAAAATAATTTGGTGAGAAATAGTCTAAATGTTTTGTTTAGTATCCTTATTTTGGAGATAAGTGTTCTTGTTTATCCTGGAATATTGCAAGCTAGTGTTTTTACTCTAAAACTGTAAACTTCTAGAGCTACTGAAGGAGAGCCAATGGAAGAAGTGGTTCAAGAAATGACATTAGATGAGTGGAAAAATCTTCAGCAACGGAATCGACCAAAGCCCGAATTCAACATTCGGAAGCCAGAATCCACTGTTCCTTCCAAAGCAGTGGTGATTCACAAGTCAAAATATAGTGACGATGTAAGCATTGCCTCAGGAATTCTGTAAACCTTCCTTTATAGCCAGGGTTAGGAAACAATTGCTCTATTTTTTTTCTACTGGCTTTAGTATAATTTGAATAGGCAAGAAAACAGTATCTAAGCTTTATCATTGCAATGACATGTGCCACAAAACAGGCTTTAAATTGTGTTCAATTTTTTTGTCTCACATCATCGCCCCTATTTTCTGTGCAAACATGTAATATAGCAAGTTGTTCTACCTTTTGATTCAGCTGCTGCCACCTGTATAGGTGTCTAGTAATACTGCTAGAAAAACTTGGTTTCTGAAACTTGGTTTACTACACTTGTTTTCCTCAGTTTGAGTCCTGTTTAGCTTACTTGCCAGTATACACTTGCATGTATCTCATTGTACTCTTAGAGATATGAATTTTGGATTTTTAGGGTTTGGTTTTTTTTGGGCCTTGCTTCTTAGAACAAATCCTGGAGACCTTGTGGTGCTGTAATGGTGCTCTCAATTTCCTCTAAATTTTAGTCCCTAATATTATTTAGATTGAAATTCCATGGTGAGCTACTAGTTCTGAGGAGAGAGGGTAAGCTTCTTAAGCTTCTTTCAAGTTCTAGTTTAGATTTCAGATTTTGGGGGTCACAAAAGCATGTGCATACAGTCTAGTATGATGGAATTTTGATCCTCGAAGTCTACATGCATTTATGAATATGTACCTTTTCTCTAGTTATAATATTAACATCAAAACATGCTTAATCACTTTAGATTGTTGCATCTGCCTTCTTTTTAGTGAGACTTTTTTAGGTCAGAGTTGTCATTATCCCCTCTTTTCTGAGAGGTAGTGGTAGGGGTGGGAAGAGTACCTTCCACAAACTCTGAAGAAAGCATACAGGTATGTGAAAAGTACAAGTTTCTGTTCCTTTTGTTTATCAAGTTTCTGTTCTGGTGGTATCAAGAGACCTTGTTAAAGTGATCAATCACAGAACAGAAGGAACTGTGTAACGTAGGCAAGTGAAATCCCTGAATTAGACACTGAATAAGTGATTAATCATTGTAAGGGATGACTTAACATACACTTGATCATTGCTACAGTCTCCCTTAAAGTTATGCTGGGCAATAGTCTGACATGCACTAGTTACTAGGAACACACGGTTAAAAGCACAGTAATCTCATAGCTGCAGGCATGTAGATGAATACATCGATTAAGTAGCTTTGGTATGACCTTTTATCCATTACTTGAACATAACTATAGGAGTAAATAGCTTAGGTCTGATGCTCTAGTCTCTTTGAAAACTTCCTAGGTTTATATTTCTGACAAACCTCTTCAGTATTATGGAGGTGGTACAGAAGCTTTTGTTACCAGGAATCTGAGCTAACAAAGAACTATCCCAGGTGTTTGGGAAGCTGTAATTACCTCATCTGTGTTAAAATCCTGTGCAAGTTAAGGCCTGTCTTCTACTCCAGATGCTATCTTGGTTCATCTCCTGCTTAGTCTATAATATAAAGTGTGAATGTGTATCTGGGAGGGGAAAAGCTCATACATGAAAAACTGTAGGCTTTAACCAGATCTTCTTTTCAGTTGCAAAAAGAAGACTTTGAAGATAATTCTCATGTCTTTCGAAAACCAGTGAATGATATAACTTCTCAGCTGGATATTAATTTTGGGAGTCTTCCTCGCCCTGGCCGTGGATCAAGAGGAGCACGAGGTGGTCGTGGCAGAAGGCTTGAAGAGACAGGACCACGACCAGAAGTAGTGGTAATGGATTTTGTGGTGGTGGTGGTGGTGCTATTGTTCATTTGGGGTTTTTTGTTTGGTTGGTTGATTGTTTTTTTTTCCTGTTGTTAATAGTGTTTGTGTGTGTCCTGCCCCTTTCTGTGTGGAATTTTGATTTTGGTTATGACAGACTTGTTTTTAATTGCTGTCTCATAGTGTGTTGTCCTGCATATTGTGTTCCTGACCCATATTATGTTACTTGAAATTAAATACTGATTCAGGCTTACAACTCTTAAGACCTATATTTCAGAAGGTCTGATTACTAGATGCTCTAATGGTAGCTAGAGGAAAGGATCCAATTAGTTTTGATATAAATTGGGAAGTAATTAAAATTACTGAAGATTTGCATCTCTTTGAAAAAAATCTGTGTTACAGTAATACTTTGTTTACTAACAGTGAGATCAGTAAATCTTTGATCCTACAGAACAATTGATGTGTTCAATATAACCATTATAAAAAATTTCAACTTACCTTTTCCTTTGGAAGAAAAAAGCATTTGTACACTGGAAAATAGCATCTTTATTCTTCATACTTACAGAAACTTTACTGTGACTAAAATGCTTTAAGACCAGGAACTTTCAGAATAATATGGGCATGTTGATGCATTTGTTTCATCTGGAAAAAAATGATTCTTTATGGTAACAGATCAGAGAGATTAAAACTGCAACCCAATATGTTCAGTAGCTCTAGAATGTAAAAATATAGTAATAATATGCTGTAATCTGCTTGAGACTGCTTTCATTTGGTGCTGCAGAACTTGTGACATTCTGGTCCTCTCCAGGGAGCATCATAAAAACATACACACTGAAAAGAAATTTTACAAGTCGCAAGTTCTCAGATAAAAGCCTTGTGATAATGATGGATATAATTTGAGTAGAAATAGTATTTAGTAGTAGTAGCATTTGAGTAGAAGAATGAACCCTTTTGAGGGTAAAATATGTATACATAGCTGTCAGAAACTTTTGAAATGCATTCATTTTTGTAAGACTTCTTTTCTTCCTTTTTAGGTGCAACTTGTTGCTCCAAATCCTAATGATCCAGAGGATTTTCCAGCTTTAGCTTGAAGACCCATAAAGAATGGTGGTATCTCAAAGTTGCTTTCTAAATATAAAGTGACCAGTTCTATGCTGGTGTGGATTAAGGAAGCCAGTTTCCTTCTGGAAAGTTCTTTGAATATTTGGTTCTGTCTGGTAATAGAGTTGGGTTCTGGAAATATGTACACTGGGATCCTGTCACAGGCTCCAATGTCTGCTTCCATTTATGAAACTTATGGGAAAGCTTGTATTACTTCCCTACTAGGCTTCAAGTGAAGTTAAAGGGAAGAGTGTTTAAAAATGTATATATAGAGATTATATCAAGTTCTCCATGACACAATGGTGAAATGTAAACTGTACAACACGATCCACAACTGGGACTCAATTTCACTGTATATTTGAAAGTAGATTCTTTTGGGTGAAGTGTATATTTCAGACAGTCACAAGTTGCAGTTCTTCAGAGTTTCACAAATAAAGAAAAGTGCACGTTTGGTTTGGGTTTGAGGTATTATTTTAAGAAGTCAGAGTGGTAGGTGAAGCTTTTGCTATTCGGATGTAGTCTGGGGAAAAAAGGTGGGGGAGAAAAACCCAAACCCTAAACAGCAACCTGTACTCACCAAAAAAAGTGGACATCTCTCTAAATGGAAGTGATCTTTAAAATCAAGGCAGCATAGGTGCTTTGAATTGACGCCTAATCCTAAGTCCTACTTAAGTAACAAGATATAGTTTGCAATTACTTTGAAGATTAAGTAAAATAAGAATTTTAATCTAAAGACAGAACTAAATTTTTAAGGAAGTTTTTAATTTTAGCAGGATTTAACTACAAATGAAAATGTTAAATGCCTTATTAAGAAATTTATGATGTTGGGGATGAGGTGCAATGTTCTTCCATTGCAGCTTTAACATACTTGAGCCAGATTTTCTGTTCCCTGTCCAAGGGGACATTGAGAGCCATTTTGGGGGATATGAGAAAAACAAGAAAATGGTGCCAGAGGTGATGACAGAAAGAAATGAGAGGACAAGTATACTGGACATTTTGGAAGTAGCTGTCAGCCTCACAGGAGTCTTCAAATGCCTGCTCGACTTGAACATGTTCTTTAAATTTACTGGGAAAGAAGAAGACTATAAACCTTTCGTGTTTTCCAGTTCTGTGCCTCACTTCTAAGTAGTCTCCTTTGAGAGTAAATAGTGGATGAAACTTAGAAGAAAAAAAGCTTTTCTTTGGAATAAGCTCTAAGTATACTCACAGTCTTAAAAGACTTTCCTCACTGATAAGGCTTTACTCAAATAGGTTTTAGTCATCCTACAAAGACTGTTTTCTCTGTGCTCCAAACAGATGGTCTGCAGAGTAGTTCAGCCCAAAGAATATTTTTTTGCTTTGTTTAATTACTTATATGACAATGTGCTATAACACATTTTTTTACTCTGCATGAAGTTCATCATAGTGGCGTAGAGATACTCTGACTTGCAGTAGGAAGAATGTGTAAAAGCCAAGTGTTGTTGTTAGAGGAACCTATGCTGCTGCTATTTGAGTAACTGAACTGGATGAATGCACACCTCCTTCACTTTGTAGTCACAAGGTGTTACTTGAAATCACTGCAGTTTACGATTTACCTGATGCTGCCCTTTTTACAGGTGTTGTTTGTTTCTGCCAAAAATGGTAATTTAATCAATGTGGAATATAAGTGATTTTGTCTGTGGGTTTCTTGGAAAATTTTGCTCTTTCTTTCTTTCTTGTTCCCATTGGACAGGGAAGAATGTGTCTGAATTTTTATTTATATTTTTACTTGCTGGGGGTGAGTGTATGTGTTGAGATGTGGAGAGGTTCTTTGCAGGGCTTCCTTCTATTTCCTGTCATGTTTTGAATGCAGCCTTCTCTTCTACTGACCTGTTTTTGCTAAGGAAAGTGTTCATATACTTAAAAGTAACCCTCCCTTTTTCTACTAAATCTGCTGGGCTCAATCTCTTGTGATGCATTCAGTTTAGTTCTGACTGTTCTCTGAGAAGGCTGAGAGAATTGTTTTGTTTTTCAGTCTCCTTCCTGCTGTTGCAAAGTTACTGTTTATTCCTCTAACTTTGATCTGCCTTTCAAAACACAATGACAAATAGGTTCTTTGAGAAATGCTTTAAAGGACTTGTGAAAATGTCCACTTTTGGTCAGCAGATTGTAAATTCCTAGTGAAAAAGGATAGTTACAAGACTGTTTAAAAACAGAACAAACCAACAAAAACTAAAAAATACAACCCCTCCAATCCAAAACTTTGTGAGAATGAGATTAAGTGAAATTGATTACTGCTTCAACTGGAAGTTTCTTAGAATGTGACAATTTTATTTTTCAGTCTGTCAGACTTGAATATAGCTTAAGAGTTTCTCTAGTTGATGGTATATTCAAATATAGAAAAGAAATTGTGATGACAGTGATGCAATGTCTTTGCCTAGCTGTGATAACGGAACTGTAAATCTCAGTCATCTGTCATATTTAAGGTACCAAAATAGCTATATCTGTTAAGCACAGATTTGCTGCTGTCACTCCTGGTGCAGCTTTACTCCTTCATGTAAAGCAGTTGGCAGCAGGTGTAAATATATACACTAGTAGAACATGGCATGCATATTAAATTGTGTTGCAGGTCTTAGTCATATTATTCCGTAATGCACTACTACCAGCCACCCTTTGGATTAATGTAGTGAGTGGCCTAAAAAGAACTACTGCATTTCAGGTTTAGGTTTTAGATTCATGTTAAGTTGCACTAAGTTTGCAAAGAAAGGAATTCGCCTTTCTTCATGACTGTCATTTACATATGATAGTGTTGCTATGATATTGTTCACTTGAATCATATGCAGTACTACAGTTTAGGATTGGCAAGCATATATTAATATGAAAGTGCCTTTAGAAGAAAGAAGAGAGAAATGTCTGTGCTTAAGGTAAGAATACCAAAGAATGACTTAAGAGACTCAGAAGTAAAAACCCTGAGTTGATAAATAGGAATATTGGGCATTTGAGCCCATAAGAATTGAGCTTTCAGCTGGTTACACTTTTTTGTATGAAAACAGGCCTTGGGGTAAAAGTGTGCTTTGGGCCCAAACTCAAAATCTGTACCTCTAGTACACTTATGCCATTAAGATTATTAATCTTATATTACACAACTTTAATATAATTTTCCTTTTTTTTCCCAGAACTATAACAGGTACATATGAAAAACTGAAGATATGTACATATATATATATATATATATATATATATATATACACACTACATATATATATATGTAGTGTTGGAAGTAATGCAATGCTGACTCATCAGTGGATCAATAATTGAATGTGAAAAATGATTCTTTGCATAAAAATACATTTCAATCACTGAATATTGTGCATGAAATCAGAGCTTTTTGTCTTTGAGTAGCATATGCTGAGCAAGTACTGAACAGTTTGTGCTTGGATGGGAGCAGCCTTCAGTCTTTGGAGGAAGCAACAACTGTTACACTTCGGCTGTGTTACTTAGAATTTAACTTGAAATACATTTTATCTTCAGCAGATTTTTTTTTTTTTTTAATTTCTCAAGAAATGTCTTTTTTGCATTTGTGATACAATTCTTGCAGATAGCTGTATCTTCAGCGCAGCCTCAGATAGTGCATCACATTTAATGACTGTTATGTTGGAGATTAACCAAACCTAAATAAATTGAATAAAGTTTCTGCTCTCCCTGTTTAGGTTACTAAACTAGTTACTAGTGTGACTATTCATAATCTGTATTCACTTGTCTCTACAATGTTTTGCAGCTAGTTAGCAGGACTCGGTAAGCTGTTGCATACTTTTAGCAATAGTTCCTCTGTTGAGATTTGTACAGTAGTGACTGAGTGAAAAATATTGAAATTTGTGTACTGGAAATGAATGAGCAGGACAGTTCTGTGAAAACATAAACATTTTGTACCTTGCTGTTTTTTCTTTCTCATGCCAGAAGAGAATAATAAGCTGACATACTCTGATCCAGGAATTCTATACTTGTTAGTTGTTTGGTTATATTTCTGTTGCTTTTGGATTGAGTGCTTCTTTTAAGAGTTTTTGCTAGCTCTAGCAAAGACTTGGAACCTTAGAAGCTAGTGTGGGAAAAGTAAAATCCAATAAAGCTGCTACCAGAGTGAAAGAATACCAGAGGCTAGAAAGGTCTGATCAGTGGGAGAAAGAGATAGAACTCAAAAAAATCAACATTAAGTAATAGTTCACTTTAAAATGGGTATGATTTAATAGGTATGATCTCTTGGTTGAAGAGATGGACAAAAAGCACCTGGAAGCATGAAACCAGGACAAATATAATGTGTTTTAAGTACTGTTTAGAGATTCAGTCCAGTGAGCATTTTGGGAAGAATGGGGAAAGATCAGTGTAGTAATAGCAAATCATGAACTCAGGAAGAAATACAAGGATGCGTAGAGAAAAGCTGTGCTGGAAGGAGTGATAATGAAGAGGTGACCCCTTCAACTGAGCAGAAAACAATGAAATTATTCTGCTGTCTTAAAAGAATGGCATCAAAGCACTGACAGAAGAAAAACCAAGCTCACAAAGATAAGAAGTGATGTTTCATTATTTACCCTCCTGCTCTTGGCATCCCTCTCACTTTGGATTTTCTTGCATTAGTAATAGCTGATGCCAAGGGTCTAGTCTCATTGTGATATCAGGGTACAAGGACTTAGGGGTTTGCCACTTTATCCTGTTAGTGCTGTAACTAAACTGCAGCTACTGGCATGCTTGGAAGAGCTGGGAGTTGGAGGTGCTAGTGACAGAGTTTTTCATCTGCTGCTGTGCTATACAGCAGGGCCACCACCACATGCTGAGTTGAGGGATCAAAAACACCAGTGGCTGCTTGGTCTGTCTGAAATCTTTGTCAGCCTTGAGAACTTGGACAGACTTTGATAGAGAGGACTTGGATCAGGAATAGAACTGTTTAAAGGACAGACTTTCTGGGTGCCTTTTTCCACGCCCTTTGTGAAAATCCAACACTTGACAAGGCTCTTGGAAATATCCCATGGATCGAGGGTGTCATGTTTAATATATTAGATTTACTTACCTGAAGATGGTTCATGTCACATGGCATTTCTGGTTTATAAAGTATACTGATACAAAGTATACTGAAAACACAAAAACATAATATTATAATTAATACAGACATTGCAGTATACAGATCCTTCACAGTACCAATATGACTCCCTTTACTGGTCCTAATGAAATACATCTTCACTGTCATCATGTCAATCCTCAGGTGTCAAGAAAGAATGGGAGGGTTGATCAGTTAAAGCGCCCTGTTCTCTCTGAAATTGTTATGGCAGTTGTCTGGCTTTTATTTCTATGTATTCATTCTCCCCATGCTGGCCTGGTCTTCATTATTGCTAAAAAAGTACTGGTTGATCCACTCAAACTTTGATAGCCATTTATCCAAAACAAAGGCTACCTCATGTTACCTCTGAGTTGAGATAAAGTCATCTTTGTAACTGCTCTGGT